AGCAGCAGTCCAGCGTCCCGACGGGCGTGGCGGAGCACAACGTCACCGTGGCACGCGCCTTCACGAAACTGATGGGCGACCTTCTGGGACAACGACGCGGGCTCGAAGATCCACCCGGGACGTGGCCCCCATCGGCGCAGCGAGGCAGGAGGACGGGAGATGCAGCTGGGCAGCCTGTACCCGCGCAACCCCATGTGAAGGGAGCCTCGGAGCACTTCCACTTCCTCTCAGTCCTTGCGGGGACGTACGACGACACGGTGCAACATCGACATCGGCTGTGTGGGCTACCTGCGCCACAGCTTCATTGCCGGCTTCCCGACCGAGCGCGTGCCCAAGATGCCCCTGAGTGGCGTCAGCGCCCGTTCGGGCTCGGTTCACCTTGAAGGGACTTGACGGCACCCCGCTCCGATGAGCCTCAGCCCCGGCCACACGCGCATGGGTTGCGACTTGTTTTGTTCCGCGGGGTCCGGGCCTTCCTCTGGCTCCACGAGCTGCGCGTCCGCCGGGGCCAGCCGGCGGTTCGCGTCCGCGTTGATCGCCATCTGCTGGGCATGGCTGATCGTGAGAGTGGTGTCCGGCACGCCTGGCTTGCGCGGAAAGCGCGCAAGCCGTCGCGCCGTCTGCAAAGCTTCCTGCAGGGGCATTTGGTCCACGCGTAGGCTCCGCATGAGGTCGAAGATGCGCGCGTCGCTGCGCTTGTTCTCCGTCAGCTCGTGCCGCCAGCCGCCCGCAAGGTCCAGCATCAGCTGGCTGTGTCGCAGTGGCTTGTCGACGGGCGTGCCGGCCCAGGTGTCCAGCACGGCCGGGAGCTGCCGGAAGTCGCCCACCAGCAGAAACCGCACGTCGTGGTTCAGGGACACGCGCGCGATGTCCGCCCGCAAACCCGTGTCGAGCTGCGTGACCTCTTCCACCAGCAGCCAGTCCAGGCGCTGGCCCCCCGCACGTACTTGCGCACCCAGTGGTCGGCCGTCTTCGCGCCGGCGCCCAGGTTCTGCACGGCGCTGTGGGTCTTGCTGATGAGGTGCACTACCTCGCCGCGCTCCCGCAGCTTGGTCACGATGATCCGCGCCAGGTGCGTCTTGCGTGTGCCGGGCAGCCCGGTCAGCAGGAGCGGCCGGCCAGGCAGTGCGCCACGGGGTCGGCCACGTCCGTCCAGCCGGCGCTCCGCCTGCGTGCAGGGCGGCGCGTGCTTGCCTCGCAGCGGCTTCCGCGTCTCCTTGGCGGAATTTGGGCTTGCCATCTGGGTACGTGTTGTGGACGAGCCGCTCCAGGTTGTCTCGGAACTTGCGCGGCATGCCCTGCAGCGCCACGCAGTCCGTTTTCACCTGCTTGATGCACTTTGGTGGGAGCCTCAGTTCTCGTTGGATGCGTGCCACGAAGCCGAGCACGCAGTCGTGGATGGGGCGCAGCGTCCCGTTGTTGTGGATTGAGCGGGTGGTGATGAAGTCCCACACGTACCCGCCTTCGCCGACGTAGAATACCTGCTTGGTGTCGGCCCCGTCGCGTCCAGCTCGTTGCTGCTGCGCAGCGTGTGCGCCTTGTTGCTGTCGTGTGCCATGAGCCCGATCATCGAGTTCACTGCGAGCTTTGCCATATGTTCTTCGCCCTCGGGCCAGGCCTGCTCCATGACGTCCAGCGCCGGCGCCAGGCACTCCGCGGTGACGTGGCTAGCCGCGTCCATCGTGTGGAGCACGTCGGACCACCGCGCCACGCCGCTGCACAGCATGTGTTCCACCGAGACCTTCGGGTACCAGCCCGGCCCCACGTAGGGCAGCAGCGTCACGGGGGCATCGCGTCCCCGATTTTGCAGGTCCGCAAACGAGAGGTCTGCGAGGTGCCCGGGCCGCGCCGGCTCGATGTTGTCGGCCGGGCAGAAGATGGGCAGCGGGAGCGGTGCGTTGGCCAGCCCGTTCCTGCGGCAGCGCGCCACGTCCACGCCTTCGGGCGGTCCGCTGCCCGGGGCCCGCGCCTGGAACACTAACGGAGGCTGCTTGAAAAAGCGTACATACGCGTCGTAGACCGAGCGCGTGAACCGTGACTCCAGCGACGTGGGCTGCGTGCTTTCGGTCTGGGTCTTTCTGGTGACACTCGAAGCAGAGCGCCTGGAAGCGCTGCTGCTGCCCGGCGAAGGCCTGCCGCACCGGCACGATGTGGTCGAACTCCGCGCACCGGCGCCGATCGGCTGCCCGCAGGCGGCACGCTTGCCTCCCTGCTCGGCCAGCAGCAGCTTCTTCTGCCGCTGGCTCGGGGTGATCCTCGGCGCCTTGACCAGCGTGGAGAAAGCCTCGAAGCTCAGCGGCTGGCCTCTGTCCGCGGTAGTCCAGCCCCAGCCCCTTGGCCCATGCCTGCAGCAGCTCCCAGTCCTCGGGCAGCTCACGGATCACGCACTGCCCGCCCTTGGCGCGCAGCTTCAGGCTCGAGAACTGCGCGAGCGAGCGGAGCGTGACCTGCGGGTTGTGCTCCGCGAGCAGCAGCTGCCGCCTCGTCTCCCGTAGGTCCGTCGTGTGGAAGTGACCTGGCTTGATCTCGCCCTGCCACGGGCTCCAGTCCTCCAGCGGCGGCACGGTCTGCTTCGGGTCGCGCCGGTACACGACCAGCGCGCAGCCCATCTGCTCCAGCACCGGCCGGGCGTTCCGGTAGAAGAAGGCGTGCCCGTCGTAGTAGGTGAACACCACGGTCTTGGTGTCCCGTTGCGCGGGCTCGAAGCGGTCCAGGGGCTCGCCATGTTGGAGATGAGGACCATGGGCGCGTTGCGCCACGCGCAGACGGCTCGTATCTCCACCGGCGAGATGCCGCGCGCGCGCCAGTCGTGCTTTGCAAGGGCGTCGAAGTCTCCGCAGACCTCCTCGAAGGGCGCGCCAGGAGTTGAGCCAGCTGCGCATTCCAGGATACTGTTGAAGCACGGCAGCTGGTACGACACGCGGCGCAGGCCTCGCAGCCTCTGCCGCAGGATGGTTTCTACGTGTACGCGGCTGTTCCGGTATTGCGTCGTCTCCGAGGACACCACCCACTCCCCTTCCGGGTCGTAGAAGTACGTCTCGTCGCTGAGTTCCATGATGGGCGCCCTGCCGGCGGCGCGGTCCTCGTCCCCCGCGGTTATCAGCCGCAGCGTCTCCTGCTTGACGTTTTGCAGTTTTTGCTGCTCCGACAGCCTGTCGGGCTGCCGGCTGGCCTCTCCACCCAGGACATTTGCGGGGAGCCAGTCCCTGCGCTCGTAAGCCCGGCCCGCGTTTTTGCCGGCCCGCGCACCCCTCTGATGACCACTGGGATGTGTGCTACGTGCTGCGAGTACTTGTTCTTGAAGAGCCTCCCTAGGTTCGTCAGCTGGTAGTCCTCCCGCAGCCGCCGCACTAGGCCCCGCTGCCCGTTCTGCAACACACGTAGTCGGCCGCGCCCTCCCTGACCAGCGACTGCCTTGATTCGAAGGTCCTCGACTCTGGCTGCCGCCCGAGCATGCTAAAGTAGTTTTCGGCCCTGGTAACGCTCCCGTCCGCGCGCTAGAGCACCCACCCAAACCAAACCCCACCCAACCCCCCCCCCCCCAAACCACCCCCAACCCCCAACCCCCCCCAAGTGCACCCTCCCCCAATGCATCCTCCCGCCAAGTGCATCCCCTGCCCCAAGTCTACCCCAAGTGCGTGCATCCTCACTCAAGTGCGTCCCTGCCCCGAATATCCCTGCCCCAAGTGCCCCAAGTGTGCCCCCCTGCCCCAAGTGTGCCCCCCGCCCCAAGTGCGCGGGTGGCAGGGTTGAGAACCGGCGAGCACATGGCTGCCCTTCACATGGCTGAACTGGACGCTGGCCAAGAGGCCCCAAAAACAAAGCGGAGTCCGTGGCTGCGCCTCAGAGGGCTGGTTTGGCCAAGTGGACCTTCCGGGATCTGTGTGTGAACAAATCTGGGGGGACCCAGGGACTTTGAGAGCTCAAGGGAATCGGGAATCGGGGGGTGGATCCGGGAGGGTAGGGGACTTGGGGGACTTGGGGCACCCAGGCGACTCTGGTGGAGGGAGCCTAAGCAACTGGGGATCGTGGCGCCCTTTGCTTGCAACCCATCCATGAGACGCTTGGGGCCCTAGGCCTGTGAGGCTTGCTTGAAGACTTTCGGGACGTGGTGGAGCCGAAGTCAGCCTCCTTCAAGACCTTGTGAGTGAAGAGCTTCCAACAAACCTGTTGCCAGGCCGAAGCCCAAACATCTTCCCGGGGCGTGGTTGGCGAGTGACGAGCTTCATGCATCCAGGGGGCAGAGGAGCTGGGAAACATTGCGCTTGCGGTGGTTTCGGATTTGACGGATCAGCGCCCGCCATGCGAAATGTGTGAAAACATTTTTCTTGTAGCCTGGCCCAAAGAAGCGCTCAGAAGCAGCGCTGCCGACGGTCCACGCACACAGTGCAAAGTCGCGCTTTTAAATCCACATCGTATCGCAAACTAGTCACGAGGGAAACACTGCGCAGCCATGGGCGTGGAGACGACGAAGGGCAGGAGGAGCCGAGGCTGGTCAGCTTCAACTCGTGCTTGTTAGGACTCGTTGTCGTCAGGTGTTCGCTCCCGCATTCTCCTGACTGCAATCTCGTGGCTTTTCTTGCACACGGCCAAGACCTCGGCAGCATTGTTCCAGTGCTTTGGTTTGCTGGTTGTGGCCCCAGGTACATCTCTTCACCATCCCTCACGGGCGGATTTCACCGAGTCGCCCGGGCTGGAAGGACACTAGATTCCTGGCATCTTGGCTGTTTTGTGTGGTGCCGCCAGGATTCTTGCGGGCCACAGGTCCAGATCCCGGTGTCGCTGTGATGTTTTTCTGCTTGGATTTTCAGCTCTTGAGGTGACACGCTGGCACCCTGGGCGTGGCGGAGTTGCTTTGCGCGCCAGCCCGCAGGACGCTCCAATCACCAGTTGTACATTTGGCCAGTCGCAATCGCGCCAGGACAGCGACGCGGAGGCCGGGGGGCTCGCGCGCGCCAGGCTCGGTTGTTGGTGGGCGCTGGCAGGACTGCCGCGAGGAGGTGGAGGGCTTCTGTCGAACTGGGTCGAAGCCGTACTGCTGGATGCTGGGTTTGAAGCAGACGACATCACCGAAGTCACCCCCATTCTGCTGAAGCAGAAGGTGATCGGAGCGGCCCTACTGCAGCTGACACTGGAAGAGCTGATGCAGGATGGCGTTCCGCGTGGCCTGCCCTGATCAACATCCACAGAACCAGGAAATCCCAAGATTACATTTGTGCAGATTGCGGCGCTTCCTGTCGTTGGCAGGCTCGGTAGGGACCCCCCATGACGGGATGGTTGCCTTTCCTTGTTGGAGGTCGGTCATTCCTGCTGGTCGACATTGATTGAGACGTGCCGTTGATCGTTGTGAGTGATTTTGTGCTTGCCCCCAGCCTGCTTTTGAAAGAGCAAGACCTGCCCGTCTGCCGGGGAGAGGGAGGGCAAACTCTGATGTCTTTGCACCCATGGGGGTCCTTGCTGCTGCAGGCACAAGTGCATTCTATGAATGTTCTCTTTGATGCAGTGAGCTCAACCATTCCCGGCTTTGCATCCACTGGCAGTGTTCTTGCTCGATGTTTTGCCCGTTTTGCTGCCATTCCATCCCCGTTCTGTTGTTCATTTTTCTGCGTACCTGTTCATATCTGCCTGATTTGGTGCGAGTGTTTGGCGCAAAACTATCAAACAGTTGAGGGGGGAACCCGCAAATATTGAAGAGCCTGCTGTTCCAGTCGCCTGCCTTTTGAAGAGCAAGACCTACCCTTCTGCCATGGTCGTTGCTGCTGCAGACACAATGCAATCCGAAGGTTAAATTTTGTTCCGACAGCACGAGCATGGAGGAGATGGCTAAAGTGTGCACAATGTATTTCTGCTGCCGGGTGACGTTGAGACGTGCCGTTTGACGTTTTGTGTGGTTTTGATTTCCCCCGTGGAAATGCTTTCAGTGGGGCTGCCCTGATCACATCCACAGAACCTGAACGGGGTTCCTGGGAACTCAGTGGCTTTGCTCAGCGTGGAGCCCCACAAAAGGATTGTTGAGCTGAACCGCGCATCTCCCGCTTTGCTTTCATGGGCGGTGTTCCTGCTGGAAATTTGGTTTTGTTTCGGTTTTGGTACCCGTGTGTTCCTCGCTTTCCTAGTGCTCGGCTTTCGCACTAAGTACCCATGCTTCTTGATCTGTTGTGAATGGTTAGCGTTTTGCAAGAAACATGAGCCAGTGGGAAGGAACCTGCTAGCAATCGATTTTCTCACCAATTGCCGATGCGTGTTTGGTTTGTGATTGTTTGTCCTTCCCAGCATTCCCTCATGCGCCTCCCGCGCAGGTTGAGCTTGTTCGGAGTCTTGTGGAGCAAATAGAACAGATCCAAAGGAATGGGACCAACAAGCCGACGGTCTTGGCCTTGTGGAGCCCAAGGGGCACCGGCAAGACATCGCTTGTCCGACACCTGGCTTTGAAGGTCCCGAACTTCTCAGAAAGCCGAAGATGTGGGCGGCTTTTAGTGGTTGATGCGCGAGAGATTCCAAAGTCAGCGTTGCAGGAAGCTCCCAGTAGGATTGCTTCTGCAATTGTCGTGTGGCACCTGTCACAGTTGCTGTGCGGGTACAGCATCGAAGTGAGTGGGCTGGTGGTGAGTTTTAGGGGCATGGACTTCATTGCAGTGCTGGAGGCCCTCAAACGTACATCGGTACGACGTGAAATTGATATGTGCGACAGCTTCGAAGTTTGGCTTGGCTCATTTTGTCAAAAGAAGCAGGGCGTCTTCGAGCAGTGGCTGTTGGTGACGGCTGCAGCCTTCAACGCAACACCAGACTGCGCTTGCTTGGTGTTCCTCGATCAGGCAGAGCTGCTTGTGAATCATGAGGTCGAGGGACTGAGCCACCATGGACAGAAATCAGCTTTCACCGAAATATTTGGCGAATTCCCGCAGAAGATGGGCATGTTTTCGGCAGGCACGGTGAATATCTTGACCGATAGGCCATCGGAGGAGTACACCTCGCTTAAGGTCCAGGAAGTACCGGCTCTGGCGCCATTGTCGCTGCAAGCCGCCGGACGGGCCATGGCAGAGTGGGGAGGCATGCAATACAAGAAGAAGGAACTCGACAACATTCACCTCTTCTCGGCTGGGGTACCCCGGCTTCTGGAGGCGGCTTTCCAGACCTGGGGTGAGTTGGCATCAACTGCTCAGGTTGCACTCAATGCCATGTCGCAGGAGTTCAGAAGCTCGTATGCGGATGCAGCCCCCTACTTCAATCAGCCAGAAGTGGCTTTGGCGTTGGTTCTTTGCTCGGCGGTTCGATGGCCTGCAGAAGGCCACCAGCTTGTGCCCGGAACCTCAGTGAGGTGGTCAGACATCTTCAGGGCCGGAGCAGCATTTCCAAACAACAAGTCCGTACTGGTTCCACGGCTGTGGTGGTGTGAGGATACCAATATCAAAGACGCCATCCGAAACGATTTGAAAGAGCTGAACATTGACCCGGAGGGGCTCCTGCCAGATTCCTTGCAGTTGCTCAACAGCCCAACAAGGGGTGCCACTGAAAGGGGGGAGAAGTGGGAAGAGCTGGTTGCAAATTCCCTGGCAGCGCGGTTCCGCCTTCACTGCATAGCAAGAAACCTGATTGCTGAAGTCACCTGGGTCCCTTTTTTGAAGATCTACCCTACGGAGGATCCACATTTGCGAGCTGTTTTGGAGCCTTTCGAAGTTTGCTGGAGTGATGGTGTGGAACATCCAAGCGGCCAAGGCAATGAAGCAACTGTCATGAGTGACGTTGGGAAGGCCATCAAGTCCAACCGGAATTTTGCAACGGCTCACCACGACCTTTTGATCCCCGTGAGATGCAAGGCAACTGGTAAGCTCGAGTTCATTGCTGCGCAATGTCGTTATGGACAGAAAAAGGATGCAGACGGCCTGAAGTTGCAGGACAAGGCGAAGAAGGACAACTTTGAGGACATGCAAAATGTGTTGCTGCAGATTTGCAGTGAGTCTGAAGGCTGGCAGTCCTTTACAAACAAGACATGGGCCAGACGTCAGGAGGAGAAGAAATACTCTCTCATGAGTTGCGAGACTATCATTGCGCAGCTGGACGTGCTGAAGCTTTTGTGAGTGTACAAAAATCGCGCTAGCAGGTGGGAGCAGGGCGGACTTCAGGTCACAAGAGGCTTCACATGTTCCATGGGTGTCAGGCTTGCATCCACAAACTGAATGGCCGTTTTGGGCGGGGTCCAGGGATCGCTCTAAGGTCGAGATTCGCAAAATCGTGTTTGGGCTAAAACTTCTCTCCACAAGCTAAGGCATGTTGCTTCCGTCAAGTCTGCTCAAGAAGGTCAGCGGCCCGATCGCTTCTGGGCCGCCTGGGCCCCAGGAAGTCGTCCCGCTGCCTCACCGCAGCCGGTCTGCCCCGCCTCGTCAGTCGGCCCGCCGTGTTGCCGCTGCCCTGGGGCGCCGGCAGCGCCAGCTTCAGCAGGGTCTCCCGGCCACTCGGTGCTCCGGACGGTCATGGAGTCCACGGCCAGCAGCCCTCGGAAAGCCCCCGCATCCTCCACGGCCTTGATGCGCCGGTCCGTGAGGTCCTTGTTTTGCTGGAACTTGTCGGCGTTGTCCTGCAGCAGCCGAAAACTCGGTGGCCGGCTGCTTCTCCACGTCCTCGCAACGCCGTATACCGTCTCGTGTGGCCGGGTTGTAGGCCCCCGCGGCACGCTCAAAGTGGTCGCTCCACTGCCCGCTTTTGCGGGACACGCGTGTGGCCAGGTCCTTCTTCAGCGTCTGGATGCCCCGTTGCCGTGTCCTGGTCGGCAGCCGAGCGGTACGCCACCAGCGCCGAGGTGATCTGGTTGGTCGTGAAAACGTCCTTCCGGGCCCGTCCGGTAGGCCAGCAGCGCGCCCGAGATGGCAGCCTGCGTCTGTGTGTCCTGCGCGCTTGCCGTCCGGTAGTCGGCCAACAGGGCGTCCACCTGCGCCGAGGTGTAGTAGGCCAGCAGCGCAGCCGAGATGGCGCTGGTCGTCTCGGCGTCCTGCGCCGTCCCCGTTCGGTAGTCGACCAACAGCGCGTCCACTTGCGCCGAGGTGTAGTAGGCCAGCAGCGCAGCTGCGAGGGCCGCGTCCGCTGCTGCGACGGAGTAGCAGTCGGCCGTGATGCTCAGCGTGTCGTCGCCGTTGGCCAGCGCAGCAGAGAGAGGAGCCTCCAGATGCAGGTTGCGAACGACGTTGCTTCCGCGAACGAGCTCCCAAGTTGTGAAGCCCGCCCAGGCCGGTGCGTAAACAACTCCGCCGCTGCCGGAAAGCTGCAGGGCGGCGAGCTCCGCGAGGATTGCGTCGAGGGCGCTCTGGAGCGTGGTCTCGCTGGCTGAGAGCGCGGCGTTCGTGGCGTATGAGGCCAGCAGCGTCGCGTCGGCCCTGGCCCCCTGGAGCGCCGCGATGCTGGCGTCCCGGCTAGCAAGCTGCGCTGCGACGAAGGCCTCGGTGGCGAGACCCAGCAGGGCATTTGCTATCTTGGTGTCTACCTCCAGCGGCGTGTCCAACCCGTCCACCGTGGAGAGCAGGGAGGCCAGCGCGCTTGCGTCCGCCTTGCCGAGGAGGGCCGCGTCCAGGGCTGCCGTGGTGACTGCGCCCAGGAGAGCGGCCGAGATCTTCGAGTCCACCTCAGAGGAAGTGTCCACGGCCGACTGCAGGGCGTAAGCAGTCAGGGCGCTGGCGTCCGCCTTGGAGGCCTGCAGCCCCGAGATGGAGGCGTCTCTGCTCGCGAGCTCGGAGGCCAGCGCCGCGGCGGTGACGGCCCCAGGAGAGCGTTGGCCACCTTGGTGTCCACCTCCAGCGGCGTGATCCTCGCCGCTATGTCCAGGGAGTGTTGGTCCACCACCGTCTTGAGACCGTAGGTGGCGGCCACCGTGGCCAGCGTGGCGTTGTTGGCCGAGGCGATGGAGCCGTTCATGGCCGCCGTGGTGCTGTAGTTGGACAGCTTCAGGTCCACTGAGTCGGGGGTGCTCTTAGTGGCCACCCCGCCCTCCAGCACGTCGAAGGCCGACTGGTCTGCCTTGTTGGAGAGACCCGTGGTCAGCGAGCTCTGCAGCGCTGCGATGCTGCTTCCGTGCGCGGCCACCTGACCGTCCGTGGTGGCCAGG